AGCTTCGATCACTTCGGCCCCCAGGCTTTTAGCTAATTCTAGATCTACCATCATGGCCTCATACTCGGCCTCATTATTAGTCAATTTCACAGTTCTAATAGATTGCCTAACTACGTTGCCCGTAGGCAGCTTCAACACGATGCCGAGTCTAGACCCCTTTGCGTTCGAGGCACCGTCCGTAAAGAGGGTTCAGATTCCCGAGGAGGTCCCAGAGGTTAACAACAATTCCTTTTCGACTTCGGGTATTAAGGTCGGCATGAAGTTGGCCACGAAGTCTACAAAAATTTGAGATTTGATGGAGGTTCGGGGTCGATATTCGATATCGTACCCGCTAATTTCCACAGCCCATTTGGCCAATCGTCCCGAGAGCTCGAGTTTTTGCATTATGTTCCTCAATGGGTAAGTAATTATGACACATATGGGATGACATTGAAAATATGGCTTTAACTTCCTGGAGGCGCTTAGCAAAGCGAGCGCCAATTTCTCTAGGTGAGGATACCTTGTTTCGGCCTCGCCTAGGGTCCTGTTAACATAATAGATAGGAAATTACATACCTTCCTCCTCCCGGGCTAAGACTCTACTTACCGCTATCTCAGATACCGCTAAATACAGGTACAACTGCTCGTCAACCTTCGGAATATGAAGCAAATATGGACTCAAAAGGTATCGTTTGAGTTCTTCCAAAGCTTGCTGGCACTGTGAGGTTTACGAAAAGTTCTTCTTCTTCTTCAATAATGAGAAGAACCGATGGCTCTTATCGGAGGATCTTGATATGAACCGACCCAGGGCGGCTATGCGCCCGATTAGCCTTTGAACGGCCTTGACATTGTCCACAATGGTGATGTCTTCTATAGCTTTGATTTTGTCGAGATTGATCTCGATTCCCCGGTTGGACACCATGAATCCAAGGAACTTCCCAGACCCGACCCCGAATGCGCATTTCTCTGAGTTCAGCTTCATATTGTATTTCTTCAGTATGTTGAAGGTTTCCTGCAAAATTCCAAATGGTCCTCTGCTCGCAGGGACTTAACTAATATGCTGTCAATGTAAAAATCCATTAATTTTCTTATTTGCTCTTCAAATATCCTGTTTACTAGGCGTTGGTAAGTGGCACCGACGTTTTTAGTCCGAACGACATTACGTTATAACAATAGGTACCGAATTTAGTGATGAAGGAAGTTTTTTCTTGATCGCCCGAGTCCATCCGGATTTGGTTGTACTTAGAATAGGCGTCAAGAAAGCTGAGTATCTCGTGGTCGGCCGCCGCATCGATCATGCGATCGATATAAGGCAAAAGAAATAGTCTGTAGGGCACACCTGTTCAAGTCTTTGTAATCTACGCTCATTCTTAATTTATTTCCCTTTTTAGGCACTATAACTATGTTAGCTAACCAATCTGGGTACTTAACTTCCTGAATGGAACCTATTTTAAGGAGTTTGGATACCTCGTATTTGATGAATGTATGCTTTACTTCGGACTGAGGACTCCTCTTCTGTTTAATCTTGCGGAACTTCGGATCCAAGCTCAACTTGTGAGTAGTTATTTCTCGCGGGATTTATGTCATATCAAAGATGGGACCAAGCGAAACAATCTACGTTAGCTATAAGGAATTCAATGACTTTTTTTCTGAGCTAGGGAGTTAACCCTGTGCCCATGTATACCTTCCGATCAGGCAAGTGTTTGATCAATATGACCTGCTCCAGCTCCTCGACCGTTGACTTGGTGGCATCAGAATCGTCAGGGGCGATAAATGATATGGGAACTCCGTAATCATCATCCTCGCCTATTTTTGCTTCTCCAGTTCGATCGAGGCCAATGTTTGTGATTTCTATTTAGTTTCTTCCTTCCCAATCAACTTCAGGTTCTTTGATGTCGAGAGAGCGGATATCGGGATCACCTCATCGACCGCAAACCTTTTTTGCGGTCGGCTATTCTCCGTAAACTGTTTTGATCCCTTCCGGTGTGGGGAAATTCAATTCCTGGTGCAGTTTTGAGAGTATTACCCTCATGTTGTGAATCCATGGCCTTTAGAATAGAGCGTTGTACCTCATATCCCCCTCGATGATGTAGAACTTCATTTCCTGAATGGTTCCGGCAGTGTTCACTAGCAGGGTTATCTCCCCTTTAGTAGTTTCACATGCCATGTTGAATCCGTTTAATACCCGGACCACGGGCACTATTTGGTCTTGTAGACCCAGCTGCTCTACAGCCCTCTATCTGATGATATTGGCCGAGTTACTTAGATCAATCAATACACGCTTAACTCGAGATTTATTTATGAGTGTAGAAATTACCACACATCGTTATGTGGTTGCACGATGCCTTCAACGTCTTCATTGTTGAAAGAGATGGTCCCCTCCGGCATGTAATCTCGGGTTTGCTTTTCCCTTGTAATGGACACCTTAGTGCGCTTCAGCATTGGCCCTGGGGATATCGACTCCACTGATGATCATGTTGATGACGTGCTGAGGTTCCTCCTGCTCGGTCTGTTTGTTGGAGTCCCTATTCCTGAAGTGATTTTTGGCTCAATCACTCAGAAACTCCCAGAGGTGTTCGTTATTGAATAACCGGGCCACTTCTTCCCTTAGCTATTGGCAATCTTCGGTCCTGTGGTCGTGGGTGCCATGATACTTACACACCATGTTGGGGTCTCTTTGGACAGGATCAGACTGTAATGGCCGAGGCCACTTGGTATCTTTGATGCGTCTGATGGTTGATATGATGCCGACAACATCGACGCTGAAATTGTACTCCGATAGCCTTGGTGCCTCCCTGGCCCCGATTGGCTTGTCGAAATCGTTTTTACTCATGAGTCCTCGGTTATTATGACCTCGATCGCTTCTTTTTTCATTCCTCGCTGGGTTACATCCGGATCCACTGCCCCTTCGATCTCCGCTATATGGTTGGTACCGATTTCTGCTAATCGACGACTCTTTTAGACCTGTCATTAGTTCTGATGGGATACACGGACCCAGAGGGGGCTCTGATCTGATCATCCTCCACTCTGATTTTTGATTTATACTTGCTATGGATGTCAGCCCAAGTTACTGCCGGGTACTCTATAAAATTCTGTTTCAGCTGATGTGAAGCCAAAAAGCTTTGGGGGTTGAGTCCTTGAGTGAATGCTTGAACAACCCAATCATCCGCAACCGGGGGAAGATCCATCCTTTCCATTTGGAACATCGACACGAACTCCCTGAGCATTTCGTTATCTCTTTGCTTGACTTTAAAGAGGTCTGATTTTCTGGTCTCGACTTTGATGGCCCCGACATGAGCTTTTACGAAGGCATCCGCAAGTATAGCAAACGAATCAATGGAATTAGAGGGCAAGTTGTGATACCATATCATTGCTCATTTAGACAGGGTTTCCCCGAACTTTTTCAATAAAACCGACTCAATTTCGTCATCTTCCAACTCATTTCCCTTGATGGCACACATGTAAGAGGTTAGGTGTTTATTCGGATGGTCCCGTTATACTTTGGAATTTTGGGCATACAGAACTTTTTTGGGATCGATTTCGGAGCTGCGCTCGGAGGGAAAGGTTTTTGGACGAACTTCTTGGAATCCAAGCCTTTCAATATCGAGGGTGCTCCTGGGATATGATCAACCCTAGAGTTATAAGTCTCCACTTTTTTGTCGTTAGCTTCGATTTTATTTTCTCCCGATTCCACCTGTTTTGTTAGTTCCTCAAGCATCTTTATTATTTCGGGGTTGGTTCCGGGTTCAACTTCACCCGGCCTTTCTGTGGCCGGTTCATATCTGCGAGTATTTTCCCGGGATGGTTCGGGCTCAACTCTGTTGGGGGCGCGACTTTGGTTCTGCAACTGGGCTATCGTTGCATGTTGAGCCTGTAACATTTCGAAGATTACCCACAAATTGATCCCATCACCTTCGCCGTCGTGTGTACTCCGGGCCATCGATTGGGCTCCCCCACGAACGCTATTTTCGGGGTTAGTATGGAATTTTGCGTCGATAGCTACATGTGAGTTAGCATCGATCGGGTCCGCGACTGAAACTCTGTTTGTGTCAATAGGGGGCACCTCGTTGCTGGGTACTACATTGTTGTTCTAGCCCTGGTGGACAGACTCAACATCAACGTTTAAAGGGGCAGATTGAGAGTTCGACATTTTTAATTTGACCTGAAATTAAAATCTCAAAGAACAAGTGTAAAATAGAGTGTATTATGGGAATTTGTATCAAATTACCACTATTATCCCTAGCCCAGGGAGCCAAACTGTTTACCTTTAAAAACAGATAGCAATTGAATTTATATATGATTTTAAGAATATGTGGATTAATTCAATACAAGTGATTAATAGCGTTAGATTAAACAAATAAAAAACGTAATAGATGACCAAACCAATGATAACAGTGATTCCGAGCTCGGTTGATGGCTCGATGAAGAACCTGCCCTCGATTCCAAGCTTGTACTTATGAAGAATTTAAGAACATGAATAAGAACTTTGAACAACAAAAAGAATTAGAAATAAATTATCTTGATATACATGTTATAATGTGTGTTCTGAATAATAAGCTTTCCCCTTTATATAATAGGGGAGTTTTACCATAAGTATAATTCTAATAAAGGTAAAAATCTTCCGTTTCGTTAATATTTTTTGCCGATATGGGCCGAGATTCACTCTGTGATATCCGGTTAGGCACGAATATCACGACCCTTTGTTAGTCATGTGCTTCTGTTTGGTAATGCTTTCCGAACTCTCAATCCTCAAATCGGACCAGAAGGATATGACCCCGATATTCCCGAATATAAGTGTTTTGACCGAGCCCCGATACAAGAGGTTTGTCGACGCCGATCCATTACAGTCTCTTTCCTGCTCCGTTTAGCTCACTGGGAAGTCGAGTCATGCCGCGGGGCTCGATTTTATCAGTATACAAATAATTAACCTCTCTGGCGCTTGGACAACGTGTTTTTCACCTTTAGTGACACGTCAAAATAACAGTGTTATTTACTGCACTTCGACATGGTAAGGGGATATTGACCCCAAAGTATGATAATAACTGTAATGTAAACGCGCCAACAGAACCGTAACACTACAAAACCAAACCACCTTTGCACTTCGTACCGCCAAAACGCCCCCCGTCGGAACCACCGCCACCACCACGACGATCGACGACGGCAACATTTGTAAAAATGGGAAAACCAAAACAACAAGTGATTTCCCGCTTCTTTGCACCAAAACCAAAGAACGAAAAAGACCCTTCAACTTCAGCTTCAACCCCTCCCTGTACTCCACCTCCCAAAATTACTGCCACCGTCACCTTTTCACCTGCAAAACGCCTCAGAAATTCTCAACTCACTTCTCCTCCTCCCACAAAACACACCAAAATCCCTAAGCTATCACCCCACGTACACAACCCACCCCCTCCTCTTCCTAACCCCACTCTCCACCAGAGGTTCCTGGATAAACTTCTAGAACCATCTACCGACCTTCTGGAACCTTCTAAATGTTATGATATTCAAAACCCCAAGTACACACCATTAGAGCAACAAGTTGTGGAGCTTAAGGCCAAGTACCCAGACATTTTATTGATGATCGAAGTTGGTTATAAGTACAGATTTTTTGGTCAGGATGCAGAAAATGCTGCTAGGGTTTTAGGAATTTATGCACATATGGATCACAATTTCTTAACAGCTAGTGTACCGACTTTTCGGCTGAATGTCCACGTAAGGAGGCTGGTGAGTGCAGGATACAAAGTTGGTGTTGTTAAGCAAACGGAGACTGCTGCAATTAAGGCACATGGCTCGAATAAATTGGGCCCTTTTGGCCGTGGGTTATCGGCACTGTACACGAAAGCTACTCTGGAGGCTTCGGAAGATGTAGGGGGTGGAGATGAGGGAGTCGGGTCATGTAATAACTATTTGTGTTGTGTTGTTGAGAAGGGAATGGAGGATGTTGATTTTGGGATTGAGGGTTGTAGGGGGGTTGATGTGAAAATCGGGGTTGTTGGGGTTGAAGTTTCGACCGGAGATGTTGTTTATGGGGAGTTCAATGATAATTTTATGAGGGTGGGGTTGGAGGCGATGATCCTCAACTTGATGCCAGCTGAATTGCTTGTTGCCAAGCCTATATCTAAGCAGACAGAGAAGGTGACTGATTGTTACTCCCTCCGTGTCAATTTATGTGATGTAGTTTGATGTGACACGAAGTTTAAGAAAAAAAGTACGACTTTTGAAATTTGTGATCTAAAGCTTAACGGGTAAAATAGGTAAAAGAAAAAATTTATAGTTAAATTATTTTCAAATATAGAAATGTGTCATTCTTTTAAGAACAGACTAATAAGGAAAATGTATAACGTAAAAAAGAATTATTGCTCATTTGTGTGCAAATCTGTCATCATTGACTTCCTATTAATGGAAATGCAATATTCAGTTTGTTGAAGAATTAATTAGAGAATTAAAATTTCTCACTCTCTAAAAGCTTAAACTTTTAATAAAGGGAGCTGCACAATAAAAGATAGTATTTATTAGTAGGTCGTTCTGTTGCAGATTCTTTGTTAATTTTGTCTGCATTAATTTCTAGATTGAATACTGGACCCAGAGAATCTTTATCAACGGTGATTCATTTGAGGCACAAACATGAGTGAAACCTTAATCGTCAAAGCTCGAGCTGACCATGTATTAAAATAAGGTTCATGTTTGCCATATCTCTAATGGGGCAAAAATATACAGGCATTTAATCCTGATTCAGGCAGTGGTAGAACTGCCTCCCGTTTTGCTGAAAGTAATGGTTACGCCTCGTCCTTTCTCACAACACATTGTAAAGAAATTGCAGTTTTAGGATGTATGACCTTTTCTTTTCTTTTTTTGGGAATATGGTCCATTTGTTTCTATTAACGACGAACAAACTTGTGTAACTCACAAACAGGGACCTGTTTGTAACTCGAGCAGACCAGCCAAACTATGAAATGCCACTCATATAACTAAGCTAGCAAGTTATTATAGCCCAGAGAAGGTGTATATTCAAGTGAGATGAATGTAATATTTTAATATTCGAAGAGTATATGGACTGATCACTCACAGAAATACGACAGGAAACTGGTTAAATTATTAGTTTGAAGGTAGAGAGAGCGCTTCTTATTTTTGTTTGCTCTGTCCAAAATTTGTTGGTGATATCTTCTAGAGTTTTTGGACATGAAGTTACCGGTCTATTAGTCTGTTTAGAATTGTGCTTTTGGATTGTCACGTTCATGGGGTAATGTTATTGGGGCTTGTTTGGAACTCATCCAAAAATATAATAATTGAACTTTGTAGGGAAATTATTCAATTAAATGTACTGCAAAGCTCAGTGGTTTTGCTTTAATTTATTCTATTCTTTTCAGCTGCTACTGGCTTATGCTGGACCAGCATCTAATGTTAGGGTGGAGGATGTATCATCAGATCGGTTCAGTGATGGCGGTGCTCTTGCTGAAGTGATGTCTCTATATGAGGGCATGCAGGAACATTATTTGTCAAATGTCCAAGAAAGGGAAGAGGCTGAAGTGAAAATGCACGAACACAATCGGATCACAATCCAGGTGTGATTTCTACACTTGGATTTGGGACTGAATAGTCTAAATTTTTGATATACCATCTAGCAGATGGAATCAAAACGTCAAACTTAATATCTTCATATCTTTTGTAAACATGTTTATACTTTCTTATGTTATGTCTTTTTCTTTGTCCGTGGGGTGGGGTTCACTATGATATTGGGTTTCTCTGTGCATTAAATATGCCGCCTCCTTTCATCTTATTTTGTCTTGATCTGTAGGGAATGATGGCAATGCCTGGTCTGGCTATACAAGCATTGGCCTTAATTATTAGACATCTAAAACAATTTGGTTTGGAAAGAGTTCTGTGCTTGGGAGCTTCATTTCGTCCCTTCTCTTGCAACATGGAGATGACCCTTTCAGCCAATGCACTGCAGCAACTTGAGGTGAGTGGGTTAACGCTCCCCCACCCCAAAGCAGATAAACCAAAGAAAAAATTTGATATATTCCATTAATGAACTTTAGTAACTTTGGGACTTCCAGGCATGAGCAATGCATTTTCTTATTGTTTTCACGTGTTCTTCGCCGAAGCTTCCTTCTCAAAGCAATAGTTGATGGGACTCAAAACTAAAGGAGGGTGTGACTGCTGCAATTTATAAGAATTGAAGCATGAAGTAAGCAAAATTAGTTGGGGTTAAGGGGAACCATCTGTAAATGTGAACCTCAGTAAACTTGAGCTCGATTAACATAACTCTGCTATCATTATAGAATCTAAATTTGCTGTCAAGACAGCATTTAATTTTTCTGTGACAAGTAAACTCCATACTGTAAGGTAGATAAGCATTTAAATAAGCAACTGTCAATCATCTTATGATTGATATAATCAAGCCAATGAATTTGTTATATAGAGAGAGTCTAGATGTGGATAATATACCCAGTTAAAGGCAATCACTGACTCTCTGGTACCTGAAACATTTGTAGGAGTGGTTAAAACATCACAAGTGTATGAACTAGCAAGACAAAAGTGGGTAGCTCAAGTGGAAAGCTCTCTCCACCTCCAACCTGTAAGCTGGGGGTTTGAGTCACCATGGGAGCAAAATGATGAGACTTTTGACTCCTGGAGGAGAGGTTAGGATGGAGTAGATGCAAGTTACCAATAAGAAAAAGTGTCAACCAGCAAACCACTGTTGCATAGCTATCATTACTTTTCTTAAGGTGCTTATATGTGAACTAAACACAGGGAAGCGAACTGTTTTATGAACAACACTTGAGATCAAGACTCCACCACTTCTGTTCCTTCCACGTCTCCCATTCTCTCCCTATTTTCTCACACATCTCTTTCTCGCTTGTCTAGTTCTTTCATTGTACTCCTTATTCACCCTTCTTCCTTTAGCTCACTGGTTTATCTTCCTCCTCCAATTTTTGCAGTATATGAACTATGAGGAGATATGTTATTTTGTACAAAGTAGATACTACTCTGTTGAAAGTTTTATTCATTTCATATGGAAATTGGTCAAAATTGTACAGATTTTGATCTTTATTTAGCTTTGCTTACTTATTGCCACATTTGTCCGAGTAGAATTGAATATGTAGAGAATTCATTCCGTTTCCCACTAGTTCGTCATTGGGGCACAGTTACTGGATTGTTCTATTAATTAATCAGCTATTACTCTGTTTGCTATTTTCGTCACTTTTTACTTTATGAGAGTCAAGTTGACCAAAACTTAGACGTAGATAAAATTATCATATTGTAGTCAAACTTTACACTGCTCTGCTTGTGGAAAGTGTAGTCAGGCACATATTTTGGAGGGAGAACTTATTCATGATCTTTGACTTATAAGATTATCTATGGTTAGGAAGTCCCATAACTAACTCTTGTTCATATGTTTTCTAGTTGTAAAATGATGTAGTAATTTTTTCGTGTTATTCTTTCTTATCTCATTATTTGTGCATCAACGCGAGCCAGACTGCAAAGCTTACCTTAGCACGTGGGATTAACATTTTTCTTAGTAGGAAGTAGAAACTGATTAATATCATATTCTCTTTCTGTCTTATTGGTTTGTAAGAGTTAGATTCTGTTATATTCTAAATTTAACTGGGTTCCAATAGTTAAAAGTATTCAAGAATTCGGAGAAAAGGCTCTATCTAGAAAGTGCAAAAAAGTCAGGTAGGACAATTAATTTCGGAGAACGAGATTGCATTTGATTTTTGTGCATTTGCTAGCATAGGCTGCATAGCAATGTGTTAATATGTGACTGATAGGCGTGGTGTGCCTATGAATTACTAAACACATAAAAATGTGGTTGTTCTTGAATGGATAGCTGGTAGCGTCTATGATTTGTATCTGTACACAATACTACTAAATCCAGGCTACGTGAGATGCACAGGGGTCCCTTATCCACAAAAAAATGTGAGATAGCATAGTGGCCAAACTGCAAAACCTAATCCGGTGTCCCGCTTGATCCCTAACTAGTATTAGACCTGGTAGGACCATTAAAGAGTGCCCTGTTTGGTTAGAACTCGTAATAAGCATGTATTGCTTCCTTTTAATTAGACCTCTTTCACATTGGCGTAGTTTCAAGTGAATTTTCCAGAGTCACATCTGGAGGGACTACTGGGTTTACTTCTGTTAGGGTTTTGATCTGTTATAAAATCATGCAGGACGGAGAGGAGAATAATTTAGCAATCTTTTTTACTGGAGAAGAAGATGCCTAGCTTGTCACAGCATCAGGAATCTTCAAAAAAGAGAATGAATTAGAAAATAGTTCCTACATAAATTGATTATATTTATAATACTCCCTCCGATCCAATTTACGTGAACCTATTTCCTTTTTAGTCCATTTCGAAAAGAATGGCTCTTTTCTAAATTTAGAAACAATGTGACTTTAAACTTTCCATTTTACCCCTAATGAAATGATTTATAGCCACACAAATATCTATGGATTGTTTTAGGCCATAAGTTTTAAAAATCTTTCTTTCTTTATTAAACTCCAGTCTTTATTAAACTCCGTGCCCAGTCAAATAGATTCACATAAATTGAAATGGAGTGAGTATAGAATTCGATAAGAGTTCTAAAAGTTTTCTTTTCATTCTCTCTACTTTACTCCACCGGTAGTTTTTTAGCTCTCAGGAGACATACAAAGGCATATGCTTTCCTGATTTGTAATTTTACCGATGATGTAGGTTTTGAAGAATAATTTTGACGGATCCGAATCTGGCTCCTTACTGCATTGTATGAATCAGACACTTACTGTAATTGGTTCAAGGCTTCTCAGGCACTGGGTATGGAGATTCTTTGGCCCCTAGTTTGTTGGGTTATAGTAATATGAGTGGATACAGAGTACATCAGTAATTTCGTATTTTGCAGGTGACTCATCCTTTATGTGATAGAAACATGATAGCTGCTCGTCTTGATGCAGTTTCAGAGATTGCAGAATCTATGAAAACTTATCGAACTTCTTATACTTCTTTCTTAGAGGTGGAAGGTGCTGATGTCACCATTTCGCAACCAGAGATACATCATATAATTTCTTCAGTTCTGTCCACTCTAGGAAGGTCACCAGATATTCAACGCGGGATTACAAGAATTTTTCACAGAAAAGCTACCGCATCTGAGGTGAAGGGATTTATCTTTTGTTTAATTGATCAAGATCTTCTTAGGTTTATACTATATGCTACAGTCTCTGATCTGATGAGGAAAATCATCAACATGCAACTTTTCAAAGGTTCCGTCACTTAAGCAACAAGTTCTGTAACTACAGACAGGAACCTATGGTGGGGAGATATTAAACTTTCGGTTAGATGTTCCGATCAGCTCGCAGTGCTTACATATGAGATCATGAGAATATATCTTTATCACTCACCATAAACAAGCATACACTGTTCCTTGAATTGGTTTTGCAGCCTCAATCATCTTAAAGATGAAAGTTAATAGGAACTTCTTTATCAGTTTATTGCAGTCATTCAAGCTATCTTGACTGCTGCAAAACAACTTCAGCAGCTTTGGATAGAAGAGGATAAAAGTACGAATCTGCAAAGAGAGACCTTGCGCTCAGTACTGTTGAGAAAGTTGATATCAGTTGCCTCATCGTCTACTGTTATTAATGCTGCCGCAAAGCTTTTGTCTGCTTTAAACAAGGAAGCCGCTGACAGACGAGATCTTCACAATTTATTCTTCATTTCGGATGGAAAGTTCCCTGAGGTTTGTTGTATTCTCTTTCTGTGCCACGTTTCTTACCTGACCTTGATTCATTGACCAATTTCAGTTTGTACACAGGTTGCTGAAGTTACAAGGAGAGTTGAGTTGGCAAATGAGAAGTTAGACTCATTAATTGGTGTGTATCGCAAGCAGCTTCATGTCCGCAATTTGGAGTACATGAGTGTAGCTGGAATTACACATTTGATAGAGGTACATTAATAGAAGAAGTCAGAACAAGCTTTTATCATGTTCCCATTTTTCTTCTTGAAATTCTCCTTTCATGTTTATTGGTTTTAACTATTTTAAAAAATACTACTTCAAACTCTTGGTCAAAAATATTCGCTGTTGGTGGAATCTTTCCAGTGTGCTTGAAATAACGAGGACCTGTTCTTGCTTTTCCTGATTTTTAATTGCTTCTGTTGACGACTTATATGAAATCCTTTCTTCAAATGTTTTAACTGTTATTAGAGTCTTTCTGAAACTTATTTGGGCAGTGACAATGATTTATTTCTGTTAAGTCCTTTTACGTCTTCTTGCTGTTGACAATTTGGAAATATTTTGCTTCGCATTGCAGCTTTATTTCACTCTTGGTTGACTATACCTCAGGATTCAAAGTGTTGCAGTTTGAGAGATATATTTTGTTGTGTTGTTTTCTTCTACTATGCTGTCATGATCTATCTTATTTTACTCTAATCACCGAAATATTTACTCACTTTGTTTTCTCTTTTTTCCTTTATTTGGTTTTCTTTTCGAGTTGATTCTTTTTGTTGTTTATTTCTATCTTCTTCTTTTTGGGTGGGGGAGAGGGGAGAGTGGAGGGGATGTGGTTATGGGTTGTCCATGAAAATAAGAAGCATGGTCCTCCTGGTCGCCATGTCTGGCTTCAGCAGCGCCAAATGTTAACCTTGTCTTGTTGACCAAGTCCTCTTCTGCCCAACACTATTTTCTTTTCCACCATGCGTTGGACATATTTAACAAAGATGTATATCTCATGCCTTTTCCCCTATGTAAATTCTCCTGGATGCAAGTGTCTAGACGAATTTTTGAAGGGACAACACAAATCAGATCAAGATTAGGCATTGTAGTGCAAAACCGTATTCCAACGTCTGTGTCATTTCTGCTTTGTGGTTTCTGAGCAAGGTTTTTTGCTTGTTGGTGCTGCATAGGCTCCAAGTTTGAGGCCTTTAGGTTGTAATTATCTTTAGTACATACCTTGAACCTGTGGTCCATCATGAGATATTAAAACCAAGGAAATATGCCCTTTTATGTCGTATTGTTTTGTTTTGACTGGATGTTGCTTCAACTGCAGTTGCCTCTAGACACAAAGGTGCCGCCAGATTGGGTCAAAGTGAACAGTACTAAGAAAGCAATACGCTATCATCCACCAGAAGTATTAGTGGCTTTAGATGAATTAGCATTGGCAAATGAGCAGCTCACTGTCGTTTGCCAAGCTGCTTGGAATAAATTTTTAACGAGTTTTGGTGGATACTTTGCTGAGTTCCAAGCAGCTGTGCAAGCCCTGGCTTCACTGGATTGTCTAAATTCTCTTGCCATTCTTTCGAGGAATAAGGTTAAATATTATGTTTTTACCCTTTCTGCTTCTACTTGCTTTATTGGATGTAAATGGTGCTTTATTATTTGTTCCAGAATTATGTCCGTCCACTCTTTGTGAAAGATGATGAGGCTGTTCAGATACATATTTGCTCTGGTCGTCACCCGGTATGTGCTTAAAACAGTATTTATTAAAGTTTCACCATTTTTAAGACTGCTTTAGATATTGTAGCTTAACTTCTGTTTGTGATTTGAAAAATAACTTACTTTAATTTTAGCTGACAAGAGAGTGTAGCTCAAGTGGAAAGTCCCTCCATCTCCAACCTTGAGATTGGGCATTCGAGTCACCAAGGGAGCAAGGTGGAGACTTATTCTGGTTTAGATCAAGGGAGAGAGACCGGTTTCTTTATTTGGTTTGCGAGTAGGATAACTAATATAGGCTAGCTCTATGTGGCATGACATATCCTGTGCTTGAGAAGGTCTTGTGTCCACTGCACTGCACTGAAAGTTATGATTCTTCAATCTCAAAAGTGAAAAAGATCAGGAATGGTTGCTCTTCAAAGATCTCCCTCGCTTACCTTTAGCAGGGACCAAAATAACTGACTTGACTCCTGGGAGGAGAGTTGGGGTGGCAGTAGATGTAGGCTACCAAAACAAAAGGAAAAAAAGAAGAAAGAATGAGACTCTGTTTATGTCTTCATCTGCATTAGATACCCAAGGATGGTGTATTGTGCTGAATTTTTGTCTTATTGAATTATATCAGTACAAAAGAAGGCATCCCATCATATTTTCCTGCAAAATTATGCTGAATCTGAATGGAAAATATCCTGAATTTTAAAGTCATTGGGTCACATTGGCTGATTTACCATGAAGATCAGGTACCTGTAATTAGTATATCACCTGGAAATTCAAGTGTTGAAATGGCTACTGCAGTAACCTTTACCAACATTAAGACATTCGGCAGTTACATTTTTGTGCCACTGGGCAACTCATCCATCACATTCCCATAAAGAACCACCCTGAGCTTTTTTTTGGCATCCAAAAAGAGAGAATTGTTAAAAAGATTATTTAGCACTTTCTCATTGATTGTCAAGTAGATTAAGCCTTTTGGAAGCCAAGAGATAGTGGGATACNCAAGTTACTTCACCCTTGTCCATTTTGAGAAGATATTCAAGCTCTCTGGATGTTAAATCGTCTGGGACAGAACAAGAGCACCTGAGAACATGAGCATCACAAGTATAATGTTAAGTCACATTTTTTTTTGATAAGAGGGAAACCCGCAGCCGCTACATTTGGTGCGCACTGGGTAAACCTCCCCCTGTGTAATAGCCTGCAAACCACACATGGGAGGTAAACCGCACTAGGCAAGCCATCTATTCTATGGTCCTTAGTGACGAATCTTCTTAATAGGCCTATATGATTTCAAACTACCATTAAGCTAGATGCTCCGATGGCTTCCAAATAACATAGAAAATTAAATTTTCTTTTTGTTGCTTGGTAGTGCTTCAGAACGACATTAGATAACCTCTTTGATGCTTGCTGCCTTTGCCAATTGAAAGAAGGATTAGGATGCTCTTTTTACCCTTTTCGTTTCATTGGTTGTTTAAGACATTCCTTATGTGTGTTTGTGATTCCTGATTGACATATTTTGAAAATTTTAATTTTAACTGAGGGCTTTGAACAGGTTTTGGAGAGAGTATTACAAGATAACTTTGTCCCAAATGATACAGATTTGCATGCAGAAAGAGAGTATTGTCAGATTGTTACTGGACCAAATATGGGAGGAAAAAGTTGCTATATTCGCCAAGTTGCTCTTATTGCTTTGATGGCTCAGGTGAAGCCATATTGATGCTTGCTTCTATGTGATTATCTTTAGAGTTCTTTGCTTCACAATCTTTGTGCGGCCTTAGACGTGAAAACATTTTTTTACAGAAGAATGTATATATGTGGTCAGAAAAAGGTAAAACTGTCAGAAAAGTTTACTGGGAGAGATATATTTCTTGGTGGTGGTCTTTTATAGGTGATCATCTCTGTGGCAGTATGACTGAAGGAACATTTCCTTACTAGTTAACTGTTTAAAATAAAGAACACTTTAAAGGTTTTGTTGTAACTGCAGCTTATCATAATCTTTTTAATGTAAAGCTGGCCTCTAGTTCATGTTCTCATGGCATTGATGATGATTGATTACTTGTATCTCAAACAAGTCTAATTGGAAACAAGTCTAAATATCTAATTGGAAAATAAGTCTAAAGGAAAGCAGTCTTAGTGATGGCTGGTTGGTGCATAATTTGTTTGCTAAAGATCAACAACATTATGGTTTGATTAAGGTGTTTTTTCTGGATTCCTCTAGGTTGGATCCTTTGTTCCAGCGTTCTCTGCAAAACTGCACGTGCTAGATGGCATATATACTCGCATGGGTGCATCAGACAGTATACAGCAAGGAAGAAGTACATTCTTAGAAGAACTCAGCGAGGCTTCTGATATACTGAAAAAATGCTCAGCCAGCTCGTTGGTTATACTTGATGAGCTTGGGAGAGGCACCAGTACGCATGATGGCGTAGCAATTGCTTATGCAACACTTCAGTATCTCCTAGAGCACAAGAAATGCATGATTCTATTTGTCACCCATTACCCTGAAATTGTCAGTATCAAGAATGAATATCCAGGCTCTGTGGAACCATACCATGTGTCATACCTGACATCCCAAAGAGATGTGAATGGCGATTTCAAGTCAAATGAGAAGATGGATCTCATCAATACTGAAGACATCACCTACCTTTACAAACTTGCACCAGGGGTCTGTGAGAGAAGTTTTGGTTTTAAAGTTGCTCAGCTTGCACAAGTAAGTTAGCCTGTATTCATGGTTCCTCTTTAGACTGGTCCAGTAGAAGACATTCTCAATCAAGCCAGATAGTAAATCTAATATGAAACTAGAGAACTTGGAATCCACTCTAAGAATCTAAATTTGAAAGGAGGGCCACTAGCTAAAGTTTTGAGTCACTATTGCTCCAGTCTTTTTCAATTTTACTCCATTGCCTGTGTCAATATGGTTTGATTTGTAGTCCGATCATTTCCATTGGTCTATTCAAACATTCATCATTTATCTCATAGTTCTGGTTGGTTTCAGCTGCCGGTTGCGTGTATTCAACGAGCCATTGTAATAGCTGGAAGACTAGAAGCAGCAGTCTCTAACTACACAGTGCAAAATCGAACTAGAAGGAGCTCTTCCATAAGTTATAGCATAGATGGTTGTAAAGAATCTGAACCAGTGGAGTATGTCTTAGAACCTGATTGCTTGTCTGCTGGAAGAGCTGAACGCTTAGATGATATGAGCGAGCTTTATAGGGAGTTGTTTCTGAACCTAAACTTCGCACTTCTTGAAGAACATGATGATGACAGGAGGCTTCAGTTTCTAATGCAGGCTAGAGGGCTTGCAGCTCAGTTAATAAGTAGGTAAGGACTAATTAATTTATCCTATCACTCTTTCCACTGCTATCAAGTATTCCTTCCTTTCCATTTACACGAGGGTTTTTTCCTTTTTGGTCAATTTCAAAAGATTGACATACTTTACTGTTTCCGGAAGCTCTGTAGTTTTACCTTTCCATTTTTCCTGTAATGACATGTTCTTATTTCTTATAAGAATGACTTGGCATAATCTTCTTCTTTCTTTGTTAAACTCCATCAACATTTAAACAACATCATACAAAATGAAATGAAGGAAATGGTTTTTTCACAGTGATGCATCATTATCTTGACCTTAAAATTTTTGTGCATATTTCTTACTCCCGGTCCCGGGTCCACTTGTTTGTTATTACAGACTTTAGGCTCTTAAAATACCTTGAATTGCCTCCAATTAGGCGTAGCTTGAGTGGCAAGGCTCAGACCTCAAGGACTTCATGGTCCTGGGTTCGACTCTTCCTGGAGGGGGGCTCTTTAAGAAATTTAGAACTTACTCTTCCTCTTATCTACTAATCTCTTCAACTGGAGTTTTGTTCTGATTGCTTTTATTTCCAACTCCAGTTGCATTTCTTCATAATAGTGGGTAATTGTGTCTCCTGGAAAAGAGAAAAAAGGGTGCTCAGGCCCAACTATCCTTATTTGTAGTTGTGGCTGCATTTCATGGCGTCTTCTGTAAGCCCTGCATCCATGCTAGTACTTTGCTAATATCCCATTGCTGTTCCAACATGAAAAAGACCCTTGTCTTTTGCAGGTAAATGCTGCCTTGAAACTGTTTGCCTGCCTATACAGTAATATTAAGGGGACAACTATTTTGGTCATAATAGAGAAGTCAAATTCCTTGCTTTGTATCATTCAGGTGATGAATCATCTTTAGCTTCTGCTTATCTTGTTGCGCTCTTATCATCGCTGTCAATGTCCCTCTTACTATTCCTCCACCATATTGTTGATGAGAATTTACAAAGGTAGTATTTAACTATTGAAGTGATTTATCTTCAAAAAAGAAAATTGAAAGTGAGCATTGAGATCATCTTGAAACTCTTATCTGCATATATAATTTGTTAATTATTGAAATCTGGATCATCTAAACAAAAAGTAAANATCCGCTCAAAGTTGGGCTGGTCATTGACCCGCCCATTTGTTGAACTCGGTCCATCTTGACCCAACCCATTTTAGCCCATCTAAAGTTGGGCTTATTTTTAGCCCAAATTGATCCATGAGTAACTTTGCTAAAATATGTTTAAAATAATTTTTGTTTGTTTGATATGTTATATACGACCATAACAAAAGAAAAAAAGTCTTATTTGATAATTAAACAATACATAAGATACACATTAATTAAAGTTTGATAAGAATTGGGCGGGTTGGGTTATGGCCCAAATTTTAGCCCAACTTGACCCAGCCCATCTCAACCCAAGTTACTTTTGGGCGGGTCATTGACCCGCCCATTTATTGACACAGCCCATTTTGACCCGCCCAAAATCAGCCTAACCCGCCCATTTGACACCCCTATTGATAACAATATATATTAACATCAAATTGCAATTTTAATACGCTATTAGATATGTGAGTAAAGACCACATACAGTTGATGTATCTCGACATGGTGAATGATTTTATTTCTTTATAAGATCCTCATCACCGCTAAGTAGAAGCGGATTCAAGATTTAAATATAATGGGTTCCATTTTTAGGATTTTCAGTATTTAGCTCATTATACTATAAAAATTATGGGAATTTGTTGTTGTTTTGGTAGGTTTTTGCATATATATCTATACATTGTGTGGAAAGTTGTGGGTTTCGGATGAACCGGTAGCTGAAAGGTTACATCCGCTCCTTCCTCTAAGCTTAACGACAACATAAACTTCATCATACGCTTCAATGTTGGAGATCTTAACAACCATTTTAAACATGACGTTTCTATTAATAATTATAGTATCATCTCCAATGCATTATAACATTCATCAGCAACACCAGAGTGTAAAACCATGTTAGTATTAGAAGTGTTAAAGACTCCAAAAATAATTAAAAATAATAATATATCTCAATTAAACCTTCCTTCAATTCATTCCTTCCTATGAGCTGCAGCCTACATGGCTTCATGATCCTAAAGTAACAAAGAAATAAAATCAGTACTATTCAGGACACTCGTTTGAAGCTTGTACCTGAAAGGCACTTTTGATTAAAACTATAATGCTACTATGTTCTAATATTTTAAGGCAACATGTCAATATCTATTAGCAACAAAATACTCGATACAGCCACATCCTTGCAATAAAGGTTTTTTCCAACTTTATCAAAGTTGATAAAGAATGCCTTAAACAATCAATGAAAAAGAAGGGTAAAAAGAGCATCCTAACCCTTCTATTCAATTGGCAAAGACAACAAACATTAAAGAGGTTATATAATGTCATTACGGAGCACTACCAAACAATAAAAAAATTAATTTTTTATATTATTTGTAAGCCATTTGAGCATCTAGCTTAATGGTAGTTTATATCATACATGCCTATTAAGAAGATGCTTCACTAAGGACTATAGAAGAGATCGATTTATATGAAACATGGACTAGTGTCATCCCTTGGATTTCCAAAAGGTTAAGTTACTTGGCAGACTATGTGAAAGTGTTATCTTAGAGATCAGTTTATATTAATGTTCCTTTTAACACATTCTCTCTTTTCCCGATGTCAAAAAACAAGCCGAGAGTGGTTCTTTATGGGAACGTGATGGATGAGTTGCCCAGTGGCATAAAAATGTATTTGTCAAATGTCTTAATGTAGTAATGGTTACTGCAGTAGCCATTTCAATATCTGAAAATCCAGGTGATATACAAATTGCAATGGTAATTAGTAAAGTTGATAAAGTTCAAAACAGAATAAAGAAAGTCCCAAGAGCAGAACCTGTCTAACTCGCCCAAATACAAGGGAGCGGGTACTGCAAAAAAAATTTATTGCAAGAGATGTAACCATTTTGAGTATTCTGTTTCTCACAGATATTCACCATAATCTCTGTTGCCTTGGTAAATTTAAACATTATAGCTTTATAGTCTAATAAAACGTGCCTTTCAAATACAAGTTTCAAGTGTGTGTCCATTGGAGATGGATACTGTTTTTGATAGAATGGTCATGTTTAAAGTGGTTGTTAAGTGCTCGTTCTCCAACATTGAGACACATGGTGAAGTATATGTTGTTAAGCTTACCGGTGATGAGAATCTTATAAAGCAATATAATCATTCTCCGCGTCAAGATACATTCACTATGTAGTCGTTACTGTCATATTTTATAACAGATTGAAATTGCAGGTTGATGCTAATCTAGATTATTACAACAACAACATCAACCCAGTAGTAATCCCACTAGTGTGTGTGTGTGTGTGGGGGGGGGGGGGACCTCGGCTCAAAGACAAAAGATCTGTAACAACAATAGAAATCAGACAAATAGAATCAGTACCGTAAGAGACAACAAATAAGTGAAAGGGCAATAAGTATGTCAATAATAAAATTGAAAAATAAATTATGGAAATAACGTGTGATGAACAACAACCGCTAGCAGACCTAGACCAAACTCTATCAGACTAGCTGGAAAAACGCTCAACTACCCCCTAACCTACAACCCTAATGCTCAACCTCCATACCTCCCTATCCAGGGCCATGTCCTCGGAAATCTGAAGTTGCGCTATGTCTTGCCTGATCACCTCGTCCCAATACTTCTTAGGCCGCCCTCTACCTCTTCTAGTACCTGTCAAAGTCAATCGTTCACACCTCCTAACCGGGGCCTCTAGGATCCTCCTCCGCACGTGCCCGAATCATCTAAGCCTCGCTTCCCGCATCTTGACGTCCATGGGAGCCACGCCCACCCTCTCCCGAATATCTTCATTCCTAATCTTATCCAGCCTAGTGTGCCCACACATCCATCTCAACATCCTCATTTCGGCTACTTTCATCTTCTGGATATGAGAATTATTGACTGGCCAATACTCAGCTCCATACAACATGGCCGGTCTAACCACCGCTCTATAGAACTTACCTTTAAGTTTCAGTGGCACCTTCTTGTCGCACATGACTCTAGACGCTAACCTCCATTTCATCCACCCACCCCGATACGGTGCGTGACATCCCCGTCGATCTCCCCGTCTCCCTGGATAATTGACCCTAGATACTTGAAACTCTCTCTCTTAGGGATGACTTGCGAGTCAAGCGTCACCTCCACGCCCGTTTCCCCCGACCCCTCGCTGAACTGACACTCCAAATATTCCGTCTTGGTACTACTCAACTTGAAACCTTTAGACTCCAGGGCCTGCCTCCATACCTCCAGTCTCTCATTCACGTCGCCTCTCGTCTCATCAATCAGAACTATATCATCAGTGAACAACATACACCATGGCACCTCCCCTTGAATATGGTGTGTCAGTGCGTCTATCACCAGAGCAAATAAGAACGGGCTGAGCGCAGATCCGTGGTGTAACCCCATAACCACCGGAAAAGGCTCTGAGTCCCCTCCCACAGTTCTTACCCGAGTCTTAGCTCCATCATACAAATCCTTTATTGCCCTAATATAAGCTACCAGCACACCTTTCACCTCCAGGCATCTCCAAAGAATGTCCCCAGGGACCTTGACATACGCCTTCTCTAGATCAATAAATACCATGTGCAAATCCTCTTCTTATCCTGATAGATTATTATGAAGTAGAATTTTCAATGTTATTATTTTTGTTTAATAGGATCCAGTTTCAATATTTAACAAGCCATATATGGAGAAGGAGTTCAAGATGATTTAAACACTCACTTTCAATATCTTTTTGAAGATAATCACTTCAATTAAATAAATAATTGCCATTGTAAATTCTCATTAACAATATGGTTTTTGTGTTCATTTTTTGGGTGTGGATGATCTGCAACTTATATGAGGCGCAGGAAAGTTCCATCTTAAGCGAAATGAGAACTAATATCTACAGTAATTCATAGGATGGCAGGTGCTGACTTACTCATATTCCCTGATGATTCCAGAGTGTATTCTTAAAAAGAACACCCATGCTGGTAGTAGATAAATGCTTCAGGGAGTATATTAAAAAAAATCTTTTGTTTTTTCTTTTTCAGATGACGGTAGTGTTCAAGTTAGCCTGGACAACCGCATCTCGACTATTTCAGTTGCCAAACCGCTGCAGCTTACAATCACTAGTATATGAGAACCTGCCCGAGGAAGTTGGATTAGATGGGCTTACACCAAGTATTGTGGCTGGATTTAAGAATTCTAGTCTTATACCTCTTGCCTCCAAGTATCACTATTGGTCATTAATTTTCTATAGCTATAGACAGCCAATCTGTCTATAGCCCATGGTAGTCTGCTCTTTCCAGAGATTGCACCGGCATAAACCACTGGCTCAGTATCATGATGTGTCGAAAGTCATCCTTTCGCGAGCGGTTCATCATTTTCATTCATCAATTAAGTTAAAAGTGCTATATATCTGAATGAATAGGTAACTGTTGTCCTGGATGCATGTGAAGTAACTCCACCTGATCTTTTTCCATGGTTATTCTAACTATGATTTTGTTGGTAAAAATCAATGGTGATCCAGCTGCAATACAAGAATACAGCAAGAAGTAAAAACAATGACGAGTTAATGTATGTTGTATATTTGAGAGGGATATCTGTAAAAGCAACACACTTGAGACTTAAAAGTTCTAAAAAAAAAAGGCAGTCCGGTGCACTTAGCTCCCGCTATGTGCAGGGTCTAGGAAAGGGTCGGACCACAAGAGTCTACCATACACAATCTTACCTTAATGCATATCTTTAAGAGGTTGTTTTCACTGCCCGAACCCGTGACCTTCTGGTCACATGTCATTGATTGTTTCCAACTTTTTAAAGTCAAGGTAGCTAAGATGGCTAGAGGTTCAATATTCCTTTTCTTTTCCCCCACGGCCCCACAGGCAAGAACATCGAAGGATGTCAAGCCTTTTCTGAAATTGGCACAAATGTTACCCGAGGAGTTCACCATTTTTTTTTATTTAATTATTTAATTCTTCCGGTGATGGTTGGGGGTTTGGCAATAGGCATTCGACTGTACCTTAAATAGCTAAAGTGTAATACATGAAGTAGGAGATGTGGTGCCTTAGTTTCTCAACATTAGAAAGTTAGTAATTGAAAGCTCCATAACAAAATCTGATGCTTGTGTGGTGTTGCCTTACTCAGAAGTCAGGCTTCTTTATCTTCTTCAGCTTGAAGGCCACTCTAACTTCTCTTTGGCATGGTCCTCAGTCTTGAATAGCATGGTCGAAGCTGGTAATGTTGTTTGCCCATTTTGCGAAAACATTTGTTACGCAAATTGTCTCCCTAAATCAACGAACGGCGTTTTCATTTCCTTGCCTACTATCAAGTGCAATCATCCTGAAGGTTATTTATTGACTTCTTTCAACATGTTAACAATAGGCGTAGAATCCAGTTCAAGAATTTCATTGGCAAATCCTTGAAATGTACCAGTTATCTCAATGTAAAGCTATTGCTGCATTTACCTCGACCACTCGTCTTGCTCGGGGATCCGGCAGCCGGTTGGCTACTGTTATTGCTATACTCACCTCTTTATATTCCCGTGTTTACTTCCTTTATTGCACACTGAAGCTAACTTAAATCTCAACACACTTGTTTCGGTTTGATTTTTTTAGGAGGGAGGGAAGTCAAGTAATCAGAGGCGGATCTAAGATTTTTATAACATGGGTACGCCACTAAAGAAAGGAGAAAAAACTATTAAGTGGGTATTGATCCCTACTCCTCTAGGTAAATAAATTAGCATTTAACCAAGTGCATCATTTAGTCTCTTTGGAACATGAGTACAATCAGATAATATTATTAGATCAATGCTAGAAAATATGTACATGAAAAATATAGTTTGACGGAGACACCATGGGTTCACATGCCCCATATATTGGGCTATAAATCCGTCCCCTTGAGTAATAAGATCCAACAGCAAGAGTAATAGGAATTAGCTTAGCCAGTGATCGGAAATGCTTTATGGAAGAAGGGGTCTCGTTTTCTTTTCGGTTACAAGAGAGCGAGAGTGTGTACATTCAACATTCTAATTCTCATTTGAAGATGGCTGGCTGGTGGTATTCTATGGCTACAGGTTGCTCATCTAGGAGAGCAGACTAAGAAAATATATTGCGACAAGTTGACAGCATGCGAGCAATTGCCAGAGATGGGGAAACTTATGATAAACATTAGAATAAATATATATATACACAACCCATTACACCAAACAAATATCCACGGCCACTTTCAGTAAAACTTGTCCTTAATTCCCGCAATGAACATTCTCAGTTCTCTGGCTCTTCTTATATGTTCAGGAGAAAACATATCATTTTCTGAATCACTAAGCTCAATTACATCAATGCATTCAACGTTGTCCTCCTCCTGGTGTTTGGATTTCCCAGAAGCATGCCGCACTGGTGGAGGACTTGTGAGATCAATTACTTCAGCTTTAGACAAAGCTGGTAAAATGTCGTCCTCTTGGCAAATGGGGCTCCCAGAAGCAAAACCCTTCTTGACACTGTAGCTATTCCACGTACTATGCGTCTGTATGCTTGAGTCTATATGAATTTGAGCAATGCTTTCATCATCTTCTGATGCTGATCCAAACAAAACAGTTGCACCATCAGCAGCTGAGCTTTCTCGATCAACCTCAAGCAAGAGGTCTTGGAGTTTTTGATCAATCTGACCCAATGGCGGCATTTTCTCTAGTCTCGGTCGTCTTGACCTAGTATTATTTCTTTTCTTTCCTTGAACTCGTCTTTCCTGGAACTCCAAAATCCTTTCCGGACAAGCCCTGTTGGCAAAGAAGAGAAAAGATTCAATAACATAGATCAACCAATTTTTTAGTCAAAGAGGAAGCTTGTATTTTATTCTGAATGGATTTCTCTTGAGCTTACATAGTTACTAAGCAATTGCTATACCTGGAATTAATGCATTTTATGTCAACCTTCTGGCCGATAGTACAAATTCAGGAAAACTTAAACTAACATCCTCATTGAATTTATTAAGTTCTAGTGCAGTCAGATATGTTGTAGACAAGCAACAACAAGACCTGGCATCTAACAATGGCTTGCTATTCTAAATAGAAAGTAACAGGAGTTGATTTGACCAAACCGTGTTGTGATACATTTGGGGGCAAAAGAGACCTTAATAACAGTGATATCATGCTTCAAAAAGCAAAATTGAGAGGGAAAAATCTTGCGCATAATTGGTGTCTACACCAAACCACATTAATTCATCATGGTCAAGTGATAAATTGAGGTGAGAAAACGTATTACTTGATCATGGTTAAGTGTTGGAAGCGTACGCATAAGTAGAGGCGGAGCCAGGGTTTCAAGCTTATGGGTTCCGAGATCCTAGTCCTTTTAAATTACTGGGTTCTAAATTAATAATATTTATATATTCAATGGATTTAGATATAGGGTTTGGACCAAAGCTAGTGGGTTCAGCCGAATCCGCAAACCAAACACTAGCTCCGCCCCCTATAAGTCATCTAATTATTGGTTTGGTGCAAATACTAGACGTGGATATCAAGCTGGACAGAATAACATAAAACAACACAAACCAACATACTGATCTAAAAGTTGCTTCACCGGAGGGCCTAAGTTGATGATCATGAATTTATAAATTAGAATTTAGGTAGAAAAGTGGTGTGCTTAAGGAATCATCTCTTTTTCAAAAACCAAAGCAGGAAACAAACTGTTAATGGCTTATTCTCAATAAACATGAATACCTTTTACTACTCAAGAAATTGGAAATTTTCGTTGTTCCAAAAGGTATGACCGGAAGCCATCTCATATAGCTGCTATTGATGATCAGACCAAATCTCTTCAATTTGATATGCATAACAAAAGCTTATTTATCAAACAGTCTTCTACTAAACTCCATTGGCGTTCATGGAATATAGGATTCTCCTTTCCATATAAATAAACCTCCGTGTAAAGACATTTTACAACGGCAAGAAAACTACGCTTCTTAATTCCCCCCAAAAATGTACTTCCTAGTTTTTTCTTGCATGGAGTAGAAGGTGTGAGTCTTTATATGTATTGTGAAACGTCTTGCTACTCAAACATAAAAATATTTAGGTCTTCGCAGAAAATACCTAAGCGATGCAGTTTGTTACAGATATCCTTCACCTTTTAAAATGTCGTGTTTGATGCATTAAGTTGCATTTAGGTCAACAATATCACCAACCAATGTGATACATATATGAATTTACATGAGCTGTTGAATCAAAAAAGAGTTCTTGCTCATTCATCTTTTCAGGAGATAGAGAACAGAATGAAATTTCTAAACTCCAATATGTTAGAATATTTTGGTAATAATATGACCAAAAAATTTATTCAGTAATTTTCATGATGACGGAATTTGACGACCTACCCATCTGAAAACCAGTTTCAAAATGGTTCAGACAAATGGTTATTTTCCTTATTTCCTATTGCTTTCGATGATGTATAAATAATTAAAAACTGACCTTACTGATTAATCCGTAAATTAGTAGCCCCTTAAATCATTAGAACATATCTCTGTAAGTCATCAAGTTAATAGTTGACATACCTCTGAACGAGATCAGCTGGTACTATAGAGGTTTCAAGTCCATCCATTTCTTCCCAAGATACCTCAAAGCAATCTACTCCTTGAACTTTCCTCGGCTTTATAATTCGAGATAAAGGACACTTTATTGGCATCTGTGCATGTTCAGATCTTAGAAATCGTTTCCAGAAATAGACTTGATAAAATGAAATATAATGCAATAGAAAAAATATTCCAACAAAATGATCACAAAGATATTGAGATAACCATAACTCAAGGCGTCATTACATGTGCAGCCTTGCAGCATACCAAACTTCCTTCTCACAGACAAAGCAGACATCACAAACAGTTCACACATTAAGACATCTAATTTTCATATGGCACAACTGTCAGGCCCCTATAATGATGAGGCCATTAAATTGTTATTCTATTTTCAAAGTCTTTCAGATATGCAATCTCTTCTCTTAATTAAGATGGTGAAACATCTTTTGCAATCATATTACTTTGATTTCTCCTTTCAGCAATATTACATTACATTCAAGTCTGTTAAATGTACAACCCCAACTCTCGAAATGAATGAGAGAATGTCTTCCAAATCATGTATTTTATGGTCTTGAAGTCACAAAGTATCAAACATATCCAGAATGCTAGTGATTCGGTACACGTTCCCTGAATCACTGGTCTGATCAAAGCATACAGAATCCCACAACCATCTCTCATCTACTTTCTGAACCCAAATATTTGGGGCTAGTTAACTGGGACAGAATACAATTTTGATAAGCAATAAAGAAGTTTCAGTATCATCTCTGAATAGAGAAGTGCAATGAAGTTCTGCAGATGCTACTATCATCACGAGGATCATTCTCAGGTAGAGATATGCAGAATAGCGTAACTGCAAAAATGATCTTGATAGTAAACTACTGTACGGAAGCAAAGTTGGTTTCAGAAACCACTGAGTTTGAAGCACAAAAAGTTGTATTAAGTAAAATTGAGCATTCATTGCAGTAGGATGAGCATTACCTCATTTAATGGAAGCTGGACTCCCAATTGTGATGCAGTGGACCGCAAGTTGGCGAATCTCCGCAGTTCCCTTTCAGCAATCTTAGGAAGGATATACTCGTCTGAGCCACAAAGAACAGAGGGTTTCAGAAAAGACAAGCTTCTCATTAATTGGACCAACGTCTAAGGTATTGCATATTTAATTCTTTTAACTATTACAGAAAATGAAACTATCAATTTAAAAAAAAAAAAA